TGTGCATGATACCATTAAGCTTGATACTGAGAAAGGAAAAGGTAGGGTATGAATTTCGCGGAAAAGAACTCAAAATCAACCATCTTCTATTCATGGATGATCTGAAGTTGTTTGGAAAGAACAACGAGAAAATAGACTCACTGGTGAAAACTGTCCATATTGTTAGCAAAGACATTGGAATGGAATTTGGGATAAAGAAATGTGGAATGCTTGTAATGAAAAGAGGAAAGATTGTGGAATGTAATGGAATACAGCTACCTGATGAGGAAACAATAAAGTCCGTTGAAGAAGATGGATATAAATATCTTGGTATACTGGAATTAGATAAAATTATGGAGGGTGAAATGAAGAGAAAGTTTGTAAAGGAATACGGCAGGAGATTAAAACTGGTGCTGAAATCAAAACTGAATGGTAGAAACAAAATCATGGCGATGAACACTTGGGCTGTTGCGCTGCTGAGGTACGGAGCTGGTGTTTTGAAATGGACAAAAGATGAAATTGCTGCAATGTATCGCAAAACACGTAAACTGATGACACTGTATGGTGCTCTTCACCCAAGAAGCGACATTCATCGATCATATTTACCGAGAGAAAAGGGCGGAAGAGGTTTGATCAGTTGTGAAGGATGCATTCGTATAGAGGAGAACAGTTTGGGATGGTATGTAAAGAACAGTGTGGAACCACTTTTACAACAAGTTGCAAAGACAGGTGTGATTGAAACGGAAAGATGCGAAACAAAAGAAAATTTTAAGAAGAAAGCAATAGAGGAGCTAGAGAAAGCATGGATTGACAAGCAAATGTATGGACAATAAAACAGCGATTTAGGTAAAGAAGTGGATAGGGAGAAGACATGGTGGTGGCTGAAAAAAGGAGACTTAAAACCTGAGACTGAAGCACTTCTGTGTGCTGCACAAGAAGAACAAGCTCTAAGGACAAATTATGTAAAGTTTCACAAAGATAGAACTGTTGAGTCTCCAATCTGTAGACTTTCTGGGGAAAAGGGAGAGCATATAACACACTTGATAAGTGAATTCAAGAAGCTAGAACAAAAAGAATACAAACGAAGACATGACTATGTGGCTCGCATTGTACACTGGAAGCTATGTGGTTTGTACCAACTAGAGAAAGCTTAAAAATGGTATGAACACCAACCAAACGGAGTAATTGAATCAGATAATGTAAAGATTCTCTGGGATTTTAACATACAGTGCAATCATGTGATTGAATGTCGGAGACCTGATATTGTAGTGGTTTTAAAGAAGGAAAAGGAATGCAAGATCATAGACATCGCAGTTCCAGGGGACTGTAGAATGGACGACTTGCGCTTTAGACTAAATTTTAATCTAAGTAAGAACAACGAACTCTATCACCATAGCTAGAAAGAGCGTCTTGGAATTAGTAATATTACAAAGTTTGGTTGCGAAATGTTGTAAAATACGGAAATATAGCCCTTCAAAGTTGGCAAATTTCTATACTTTTGTATTACGTGCGTGAATTGGTAACTAAATTAGTTACCAATTTCCGCACGTAAAAGAAATGTATACAAATTTGCCAACTTCGCAGGGCTATATTTTCCGTATTTTACAACATTTCGAAACCAAACTTTGCAGTTTTTCTAATTTTGATAACTTCTTTCCAAAAATATCCTTTGTTATTCCCAGATTAAAAATTTTTCTAAAGCGCAAGTCGTCCATTAGGAGTTGAAAAGGGAAATTCGGAAAATATGGACAATGAAAAAAGTAGAAGTCATTCCAATAGTAGTAGGTGCCTTAGGAGCAGTTAGTAATAAACTGGATAAGTGGATTGAGAAATTGGGAGTACATATAAGAATATAACTTATACATAAACAGCATTGTTAGGGACGGCAAGAATACTGAGAAGAAGCTTGGAAAGCTAAAATCTTTGGGACCTGAGGCTATTGGTTGTAGCCAGCTTCCCAATCTCGTTCCCCGAGCCTGCGATCCTCGGGAAGGAACGCGAGGCTCTGGGATAATCCGTTTCAGGGAGGAATCTGATTGGCCATTGAAATGGAATGCGTAGTTCAATCTTAGCCAGGATTCTTGGCTTCCGGTAACGGATTATTCCAGAGCCTTCGATTCCTTCCCGAGGATCGCAGGCTCGGGGAACGAGATTGCCAGCTTCCAAGGAAAAAACATAGCCAGCATAAGAACAAAGCTGTGAAAAACATGTAATAATAATAATAATAATAATAATCATAATAATAATAATAATAATAATAATAATAATAATAATAATAATAATAATAATAATAATAATAATAATAATAGTAATAATAATAATAATAATAATAATGATAATAATAATAATAATAATAATAATAATAATAGTAGTAGTAATAATAATAATAATAATAATAATAATAATAATAATAATAATAATAATAATAATAATAATAATAATAATAATAATAATAATGGAAACTTTATTGAAATTATATACGTATATATACAATTATAAATCTCACTAATTTAGGTAATTTATAATTGACTACTTGAACCTACTTAATATTTATATAATATTAATAATGAGTATCCTTAAATGTTCAGTAATTCCGGATTTAACCAGTCCTTATCTCTGCAACAAAATATATAATATGTTGTCCTAATCGCGATAGACATAATTTTCCTGATAGCGAAATATTGGTGTCTTTTATCAAGACCTAGATCAGTTAACATATCTAAAAAGGAATGACATTCTTTTGAGAAAACGCCTAAAGAACTAAGTGACAAATTTACAAATTTTACGGACTTAAATTGTTTCTTTTGCTGTGTAATGAGATCTTCGTATCTTCTTCTTTTCCGATCAACATTTGTTTGTAGATTAGACTCATAACCAACAGAAAGTTCAAGGATATAGAGACAATCCGAGTTGATAGAAAGAAGTAGGTCTGGGCGGAATGTGTCACCAGTTACAATTGATGGGCTTTTATAACCAGGAAGATCGACGAAAAGATTGGAGTTGTTTACAGGTTGTAGCGTTTGTGCTATGAAGTTCAGAACAGAATCATGTCTCCATGTAAATCGTGGGAGGTACATTTGACATCCAGCAACTACGTGTAAAAGGGTTTCAGGGTTTAAGCAGAAGGAGCAATCAGAGTTGGACAATATTCCCCATTTAGTAAGGTTTTTACGAGTTGGAAGTGAGTTATTAATGTAACGAATGGTGAAGTTATAGATGTTCTTTGGGAGGTTTGATTGGGATTTAGACCATATGCCGTTTAATTTCGACAGTGAAAACTTAATGACATTTGAGAAGGAGCCTTGCAAAATCAGATGATTCTGCAGTTTGTCTTCTTGTCCGGAGGTAAAAGTTTTAAGGACTTCCTTTGTCGAGGTGTAGACGTCGTACTGAATGTTTTTGTTTTCAGATGTTGTTTTCCAGAGGTCTTTTATGGAATGATTTGGAGAGGTCTTTAAGGCGTTACGAGCAACTGTTTGGCACTGAACAAACTTAATTGACGGCGGGTAGATATTTAGACCAAACTTGTTACTGGTAAGGTAGACGTTAGATAGAGTTTCTGATATAGGTATTTCAAGCCATTTACGTACGTACTTGTTCACCACAGAATCCATATTTTCAGAGACCCAGGTTTTTGATAAGGTGGTTACAGTGAAATGCCAGGAAAGTTTGGATAGGAGGTAACGACTATAAAGCAAAAGTTTATTTTTCGGGTGCAAAGGTTTGAGATCAATTTCAGACATAATGTCGTCCATGAGAGTGATTAGCTCTTGTTTGTGTTCTTTTTTATAATAATAATAATAATAATAATAATAATAATAATAATAATAATAATAATAATAATAATAATAATAATAATAATAATAATAATAATAATAATAATAATAATAATAATAATAATAATAATAATAATAATAATAGTAATAATAATAATAATGGAAACTTTATTAAATGTTTTTCTTTACATACATATACAATCGTAAATCTCTCTCATAAAGGTAACTTACGGTTGGCTATTTGAATCACAATTATACTAAACTAAAATAACAGAACAAAGTGCATGCAATATATATATATACAATGAGATAAGTCAAATTGTTAGTAAATCCGGATTTTCCCATTCCTTATTTCGGCAACAGAAAATGTAATATGTAGTTCTAATAGCAATAGTCATCATTTTCCTAACGCAGTACATTTGGTGGTTTTTGTCAAGACCAATACTATCTAACATGTCTAAAAATGTATAACATTCTTCTGCAAAAATACCTAAAAAGCTGATGGAGAGATTTACAAATT